AAATTAAACCCTAAATTATTACAACCATATTGAATTTACAAGACATAATATTTAAATATACAATATTTAAATAAAATACAATAAATAAATATGAGATAAAATGTATTATGCAAAAAAAAAGTTTTTTTTATGTATGTAAAATATTTTCAATGGGAAGAAAAGTAAAGAAATAAAAAAGTTAATTTTATTTGTTTTTAGGGCAAAAACCCTAATTTCTTAAGAAAATAAATATAATGTATTATTTATGTACAAAAATATATTAACATGTATAAAAATAAAATATATCCAAAAAAGGGTGTTTTTTTTAGTATAAATAATAATAAGAATAAAATATGATATTTTACAAAAGTATATATATATATATATATATATATATATATATATATATATATATATATATATATATATATATATATATATATATATATATATATATATATATATATATATATATATATATATATATATATATATATATATATATATATATATATATATATATATATATATATATATATATATATTAAATATGTTAAATATGTAAAAGAAATAAAATAAATAATTTACAAAAAATAAAATATTTTCAAGAAAATGTTTTCAATGTGAACAAAAATAAGAAATGAAATAAAAGTATTATTTTCATTATTTTTAAATTTAAACAAAATAATATAAAAGTATATAAAGTGTTTTAATGCTAGTAAAAATAAAAATAAAGACCAAATAAATGTAAAAAATTATAAAAATATTTTTGGATCATTTTTTATGTTTGAAAATAAAATATAAAAGTCAGAAAAGAAAATAAAAATGCAAAAATATCAAAATACAAGAAAATGGGCCAGGGGGTGTGAAACTAAAAGGGGGGGTGCCAAAAATAGGAAGTAGCCAGGCCCGGCCCAGCTACTTCATCTTCTTCCTCTGTCCAACAGAAACGCGCGCATGGTTTAGTTCAAACCTGTATCTCCTGATTCAGTTCTTTTTTGACAAAACTCAAAACATGAAACTTGTAGAGCATCAAACAACGAATCTAACCATATAAAAAACTTAAGCTAACTCTCAAAGACCAGAGAGAATTTCTCTGGCCCTAATTTCTAACCTAGTTTTTTCAGAAAGTTCATGGATGAAATTCTCCTAGCACGATTAATATAAATGAAAACTAAGCACATGTATGGTTTCAGGGCTATGAATACAACATCTTTCATTCACAAACCTAAGTCTAAATGTTCCTAAATAGAGAGATAGAAGTTCATGAAATACCTGTTTCAGTTGAGTTCGAGCTGGACAATGCAGCAACTTCCAATGGTGCCTGAGGTTCTTTTGAGCTTGCTTGATGTCCCCTGAACCTTTCCCAATGCTTAGTTTGTTTTGAAGTGGCCTGAATCGTGCTACAGAACTCAACCTGCAAAGCTTCCAAACAAAAATGGTGATGTGTGTTAATGGAGTTACAACAACTTGTGAATGGTCTCGACAACTTAGGTATATGGTTTGGAATATGTTTGAAGTGAATTTGGACAAAACACACGAGGGGATTTGATGGTGGCTTATGATTTGCAGAACTGACCCTGTTTTGCAAGAAAATGGAGATTTTGAGTACTAGGGGGTTAGAGAGGTCAAGGACTCATGCTTCTGGCTTGCAAGGGTATGCAAAACTTGTTTGACAACTTTTCTTGAGTTGGTTTTATCAGATATGTGTGTTCTTGACTTTTTGCACAATGCCTTGGTTTTGAAGCAAAGATGTGAACTGACCAAGCTATGGCCTGTACAGGCTAGTTACAAGCATGCTCAAGTTGGTGTACTATGCCCTGAGATTAGGGAACTTGTTTTCTGCAAGGAAAAAAGTCCAAGGCTCAAGAAAAATCAATTTGACATAAAGTGCCCTTTATGAAAATGGAAGTATAACCTTTATGCTCAAAATGGAAATATTCATTGTACAATGCTTTCTTGATCAGAACAATGCCAATGTCCAATATATTTGCATTCAATTTTGGAGTGTAAATTGGTTTAGAGGCCTGTAATTATGTACTAAGCTAGTTTGGTCAGATTTGCAACTTCGTATGAACATGTATTGGCCATGGTTACAAAGTGAGTTTTTGCCAACTTCAAGCATTCGATTCTCCCTAACCACAAAGGTGTTTAAGGAGTTCTTGGACAATTTGGAAAGCTTGCAACATGTACTATAATCCATCTTTGAAATGCAACTTAATAATCCAAGTGGAACTATTTGAAAAATGTCCAAGAAGATGAGTCAAAATCCTGCCTAAATTAGGGCAAAATTTCTCTAAGTTAAAATTTTTAGGTACCCTTGTTCCAAAAATCATAACTTGAGATCCAATCTTATTTTGCAAAAACTTTGTGAATCAAAGTTGTAGACTTTATGATGGGCTACAACTTTCATGTTGTGAGTTTTGATTGAATCCCTTTGCATCTTGGTGAAAATGTGGGGCAAAGTTCGGAAAAATAAGAAAATTTTATAACTTCGAAAATTTCTAAGTTATGAAAATTTTCTATTTTAAACCCTAATTTGCAATTTTGGGTTTCTTGATGAACAAGTTACATAATTGGACATGTTTTGATGGAAAATGACTCTTGGCACTTGATTTTGACCAAAAAGTCAAAGTTTGACTTTTCAGTGTACAGTCAAATTTTGATCAGTTGACTGAAAAATTCATCTGTCAATCCTATGCATTTGAGATCTTTTGAACTTTTTGAATGGGTCAAGACAATGTCATTGAGTCCTTGTGTCCATGGTTGAGCTTGATTTTCCATTGGTTAGGTCAAACAGTCAAAAATTGCCTTTGCACAGTCAAAACCCTAAAAATGACCATTTTGCCCTTTTGGTGATCTGATCAAATTTCTTGTGGAATTGTGATCCAAACCATGTCAAATGGTTCATATTAGTTCATAATGTTGATGTGGGTCAAAATTCATGAGGTTTGACTGTCAATTGGTCACAATTAACTTTTTCCCCAATACAACTGGTTTCTAGGTCAACTGTCCAATTGACTGGGCAAAAATTTGATTCAAGGCTTGAAACTTGGTATGGACAAACTTGTGAGTCCACCATGAAGTATGAAAGTCATTTTGGGAATTGTAGGTCAAAACATCCCTGTGCAAACTCAAACCCTAATTTAGGTCAACAGTGCAAGGAGGTGTCTTGAGCAGAGCAAACCCTAGCTTGATCTTGAGTTCCAAGAGTCTTGTGATGAGAAAATGTTGATGAATTGAGAGGGCAAATTTTGGGGTACAACAACATCAACAAGGCATAATAAGCCTTCAACTTTTATATTTGTCAATCCAGGCCAACTTGACGAGCATCAGCTCCAACATGATATGTTATGTATGCATTAACGACGTGAACGTAATAACAACAACAACAATAATTCAACTTAAATCAACATTGACCATAAGCCTGCAACTTAATATTTGGCCCATAAGTAGAGGCAATGAAATCACCCGGTAATTCAAATTTTTCAACAAAAATATCACCCAACTGATCAACCAAAAATTACTACAATAAGTCACATAATTATTCAGACTATTTTGGCTAAAATCGGTTAATTAATAAAATTCTATTATTTCTACTTTATAAATCCTACAAAATTATTTATTAATGGTATTAAATCATTATTATTAAATATTTTGTATTTGTAAACCGGGACGTAGTAGCTACAGTATATCTATTATTTATTCTATACCAATTTATTATTTGTATCACAGTACAGTGGCCACAATATTTATGCTAGCAATTATCTCTAAGTGTTACTTCATATAATGCGCTACAATATGCAAGTCATTTCTTCTAAATGCTACCTCATAATATCGCTACTGTATGCAAACCAATTGCCTTTAAAAGCTACTTCATAAATTCGCTACAGTATGCAAAACAATTGCCTTTAAATGCTACTTCATAAACTCGCCACAGTATGCAAAACAAATGCCTTTAAATACTACTTCATAAATTCGCTACAGTATGCAAAACAATTGCCTTTAAATACTACTTCATAATATTGCTACAGTAAGCAAGTTATTTCTCCTATATACTACTTCATCTTAGCGCTACAATACGCAAGCTATTTCTCCTAAATACTACTTCGTCTTAGCGCTATAGTAAGCAAGTATGGATTTTTGTAAAAGAAAGTACTAAGGTACTTTATATATATATATATATATATATATATATATATATATATATATATATATATATATATATATATATATATATATATATATATTACATTGGGTCTTAAATCATCTCTCAATTTCATCGATATATCAATTTCAAACACAACTAGAAATAATTTTTATAACTCAAATTCACATACTATTAATCATACACCCTATTATAGAGTCAGAACTCCACCCTTACCTTGGATTAAGAGCAGCTCTAAAAAATTTCAACCGAATTTTAGGGGAATTTGGCACTAGAAGCAATTGCATGTTGTTCTTCTCCTCCTCTCACAAACCTTATTTCCTCTTTTGTTCTTTTCTTTCGTGATAACAATACTCTCTCTTATTCCTCTAATTATATTTCCAATATAATAGTCATATTTTCTTTAATCTTTAAAAAAAACTCAAATGGGCCTAAGTGACATACCTCTCTATTACTACACAACACCACCAATTAAGCCTAATATCATATTTAAGCTTAATAATAAAATAACATTTTAACTTAATTCCACCAAATTAAATCTGATTAATTATTATTCCAACTTAATAAAATAATTCCGACTTCAACAATAAAAATTTGAATTAATAAAAAAAATCAAAAATATTTAATTAAATAAATAATTAAATACCGAGGCGTTACAACTATAGAAGAATATAAATTAATTATATAAAAAAGTTGTGTAATTATAAATAAATTGTCTGGAATAAAAATAAAAATAAAAATATCAAGAAACAAGAGTATAAATGAAATGAAATAATGTAAGTGTTAGAGTTGTTGCTGTATTTTGATGTTATTGTGGAGTATAATAAATTAGAAGCGAAGGAACAACACTGCAATGGCTTCAACAGCATGGTTCACCATCACCCCACCTTCCTTCTATTCCAAACCCACCACCCTAAACAGACCTTTTTTCACTATTAGATGCAACGCCCACAACCCTCCTAAAACCCAACAAGACCCACTTGCTGTCTACTCATCAGTCAAAGCTTTCGCTCCGGCGACGGTGGCCAATTTAGGTCCCGGTTTCGATTTCCTAGGCTGTGCTGTTGATGGTATCGGCGACACGGTGTCTGTCAAGGTGGATCCTGATGTTCATCCCGGCGAGATTTTTATCTCTGATATTTCAGGGCAAAGTCCTAATATCCACAAGCTCAGCAAAAACCCTCTCTGGAACTGTGCCGGTATCGCTGCAATTGAGGCAATGAAAATGCTCGGCATTCGATCTGTCGGTCTTTCCCTTTCCCTCGAGAAAGGTTTACCTTTGGGGAGTGGTTTGGGATCCAGTGCGGCTAGCGCAGCTGCAGCTGCCGTTGCGGTTAACGAGATTTTCGGGAAGAGATTGAGTGTGGATGACCTTGTTTTGGCGTGTTTGAAATCAGAGGAAAAGGTATCTGGTTATCATGCTGATAATGTCGCGCCCTCAATCATGGGCGGGTTTGTTCTCATTAGCAATTACGAGCCGTTGGAGTTGGTGAGATTGAAGTTTCCGCCGGAAAAAGAGCTCTATTTTGTATTGGTCACACCTGAATTCGAAGCACCGACTAAGAAGATGAGAGCTGCACTTCCTTTGGAGATAGGGATGCCGCATCATGTGTGGAATTGTAGCCAGGCAGGTGCTCTCGTGGCTGGAGTGTTACAGGGAGATTTGTTCATGTTGGGGAAGGCGTTATCGTCGGATAAGATCGTTGAACCCAAGCGTGCGCCGTTGATTCCTGGAATGGATGCTGTTAAGAAGGCTGCTATCGAGGCGGGAGCTTATGGATGCACTATCAGTGGTGCTGGACCTACTGCCGTTGCTGTCACGGACAACGAGGAAAAGGGACGCCTCATCGGGGAACAGATGGTTCGGGCTTTTCAAAAGGATGGCAACTTGAAAGCTTCTGCGAATGTCAAGCAGCTTGATCGCCTCGGTGCTAGACTTCTTAGTGGCATTCGTGCAAATTGATTTGGTTCAATTTCAGTATAGCTACTTAGATGATAGGTAGGTAAGTAGGCATGTTCCATTCCTATCATACTCATAGTGATGATATCGGATCATGTTTTAGTCTCCAAATATTTGGATGCTTCATTTCATATCATACTTGATTCCATTGAAACATTAACACAGCTGTACTTGTAACTTGCATGATAAATTTCTAAAAAAACCGTGGTCCAATTTCTGGTATTCTTAAAGGTTATGTAGGACTCAAAACAGCAATCTAAACTGACATATGCACAGCACAGCTTTGTTTTCTTCGGATCCATATTAATGCTCAAAATTGTTCCTACCGTTATTTGTCTCATTGCTGCTATTTTTCTTCATGAAACACCACCAGCTTCCACTTCTACAGAATAAATCAAGAGGCACAGTTCTTTTATGTTTTCAACTTGATTGCAGTTACAGTAACATTTTATCCCTTGGTTTTTAATATCTCTGGACCTCATAAACATGCTGTTTCATTGGTTTTCATCGTAGCAGTTTAAAGAAATGGATGGTTTTTGAATTAAAAGTCTAGTTTTATTTTAGTGAATTTTATGTCTGAAGCTTTCTCCAAATGTTGCACCAATTTTTCATCTGATATATGGTATGTATGTCTAAAACAATTTGGTTAACAAATTTGCTGCAGCAAGCTTACTTGATCTAGTACCGCTGATATCTAACTTATTATGTTTACTCTTTTCAGAGAGACTTGTAGAGTCCCAAATTTGGATTTCTGTATTTGATCAAAGAAACAACATTTGAGGTGCTGAGGTCTCAATAAAAAGAGAAACTTTCAAACTAGGCTGACACCTGCTCTTGGAAGCAAAAGTTTGATAGATGGATAATAATTATGAAAGACATTAGATCAATGTTGTGGTGGACTCAAAGGCATGTTCTACAGAAAATTTTCATTGCTTTTTGTTTTTCCTCCTTCATCTTGCTCTACTTGAGATAGCTCAATAAGAAGTCTTTTGTAGTTTATTTATTTTATTTTGTTGTGTTAGTCTTGTTTCTTGAATAGCATGTAAAATGTATTGCAGTGTACTGACATTTCTAATGCCAAGGTTTTTAGTAAACTCTGTTGAGGTAAAATTTAAGAAAATGTGTGGAAATTCACATCACAAATGAATTTTAATTTGTAAGTTAGGCTTATATGGCTGCTTGTTAAATCATCCATCACTTACATAGCTCATTTCTATTTCCTCTAAACTTTTATCACATATAATATAAACAATATATCATTAGAACCCTTCAAGGACAATGATTAGGGCTTGAGGATTATGATGATGGGAAGCTTGAAGACAGTGGAGTTGATAGAAGCAGTTCTGCTTTGTCTTCGCCCAAACAGATTTCCAACCCAGTTGTGTACAAACTTGTTCGGGTATGTATTTATTTACTCACTGATTCAGCGTGTCAATGTAATTTGGGTTTGGAATTTTTAATCTAGTTTTGCGTGCTCCATGCATGGAGAAAATTTTCTGTTTAAGATAATGGGAAATGTTATGGCTCCCAAAGTATTTTTTTTCATTCCCAGTTTGCTATTACCCTTTTATGAGTTGTTGAACAGTTATAAATAAGGTGACTAATACTATTTCCTATCTTGTAAATTATAATAACATCTAGAGGAGCAATTTCTTTTGATTGAAACATGAATGAAATGACTGAAAGACATTGGAAAAGTGAAGCAATATTATTACATATATTGATTGACAGACCAATTTCCGTTTAGTAGTTTTTGGTGAGCAAAATCAAATTCCTTTTCAAGATAATACTACAATTTAAAAGAGTTTTGGATAAGCTCTTACCTATGTTTTGAACTTTTTCCGTTTTTGTGATTGATGATTTTAGTTGGTCATCTAAGCTGTGAGGTCTGTTTTTTGAAACACGTTAACCGTGCCAGCATGTGCCATTTGATTATTAGACGCCATTTTGCAAATTTGAGAAAAAAAAGTTTCTACCTCAATACTTGTTTGCACCTAGCTAACATGTTTTACATTTCATTCATGTATGATAATACTATATATCAATCAATCACTGACAGCACAGTAGCAAGCAAAATCCCGTTAAATTATTAAGCAAGACTGCAATGCAATGGCGGCCACAACATGTTTCACTATGTCTCAGTTATAAACTACCCGAAATAGAGTTACAACCCTACTAATCAAAGAATTTGATTTTAATAAATAACAAAAACTACTATTTGATACCATTATGTCACTTTTAAGCTTTATAGAAAGATAGTGGTGGACCATAATTATAAGTTATTAAAGGGCAATACTTATCCCACCCCATAGGGTGTGCTTGCACACATTGTTAAACGCCAAATGTCATACCACATCATTTAAAGTCAACGGTTTGTTTGATTGAATAAAAATGCATTAGACTGTGGGAGTTATAAACCTCCGCTAAACTAACAGAAAATTCATCCTCCTTCCACAATACCTTGAAACCCATATCTGAAACCGAGAGGAGTTTGCAATCTGAAGATGACGTGTCCCTCTCAATACCTAGAAGAAGTGGGAATGAGCAATGACTTGAATCGAGAACTGGAATTAGTTTTGATATCATGAATTCATCTTATTGTTCAGTTTGTTTGTGCGTAGGTGAACATGTGACTAAGATTTATAATGCGTTTCGTCATGTATTACATCAATTTATTGAGGAAGAACTAAAAAGGCTAAAGCTGTTGAAGTACTTTGGATTGCGAAAGAAATTCTCTTGGATCTTTGTAGTTTCCCTTTTAAATCAAGAAGGGCCTCCATTGATTCAGTTCTAAACAATCCGAAGTTTCAGAAACTTTTGCCATCTTTCCACAGTTTACTTGATGCACTTTCACTTGAAAAAAAGTGAGTCCAGATGGGAGAGTTGAAATTTGTTTGGTTGATAATCCTATAGTTACTTCTTTCACATTTTTCACGGTGCTAGACGCTCTAGATGACATGGTTCACAATCTTAACAAGTGTGAAAACTACGAAAAAGATATGTCTCTGTAGCCCCTACTGAGGTTTAATAGACTACATTCTGGTTCAATCGTTTCAAGTGTTAAGAGTTTTCGTTAGAGATTGTAAGTTTATGTCGACTTCTTTTATAGGTTTTAACATTAATTATGAATTATAGCATCAATAACTTGGTTCTTGTTTTATAAAATTTCAGGTAACATCAACATTCGATGGAACTCAAATATCAAAATAGGAAGAACCAAATAGAGCAAAAGGTATATTGTTAACTGAATAAATAACTTCTTTGAGGTTACGAAATTTGTTTCACGTCATATTTGAAATTTATAAAAAGGAGAGAAACATTTGTATTGAATGAATTTGTGCTTAATAAAGTAAATCATTGGTTTATGCTTTATGGAATTTGCTGAAATGTATATTGCCTCTTACAAGACTGGTGAAATTGGAGGATATCCAAACAGGTTCCAAATAGGGTCTAAATTGAGCTTCATGTTTTAGAAAAAAGTTACAGTTTACCATATACTGAACATGATCTCCAACTGTTCCGATTCCAAACTAGAAGTTTGTGGATGGATAAATACAAAAGCTAGGGTTCTGGTTTGATCCGTAGTGCACGTCAACAGTTTGATGAAATGGGAATATGGTTGTGAGAGGAATGTATAAAGAAGAAGAAGAGCAAGATGAACATGAAGAAGATCACTAAATTTAGGGAGGGTTGTAACCCCCACAATCTAATGCATTTTTTGCAGTAAAGCAAACTATTGACTTTAATGACGCAAAATGACACGTGGCATGCCACATCAACTTCTGTTAGAGCAAATAGACGGCAGAGACCAAAATTGAGGACATAAAACTTTAGAAGGATCATTGTTTGAAGGAAAATTTTATAAGGACTAAAATTAAATAATGAGTTATTTATATGCAGACCTCCTGATGCACCGAAAGCCCCACCAATACAGGTAAACTTTAGAAGGAGCATTGTTTGAAGGAAAATTTTATAAGGACTAAAACTAAATAATGAGTTATTTATATGCAGACCTCCTGATGCACCGAATGCCCCACCAATATAGGTTAAGGCACCTGATGTCGATGTCGCTATTCTTGAGGGGTTTGGAGGAGGCTTGTATGGCGTATCATTGTTGTTTCTATATGTAGACTATGTTGTTAGGCATGTGTAGAATAGAGAGTTAAACTTTATTTGTATTTATTCTTTGAAACAAGTGTATTATGATATTCAAACTTTCTGACGTGATACTTTAAAATGTAATACTCGGATGCCTTAAAATGTATCAACCACGATCAAAAGATTGCGAGACTACAACAACCTCATGAGAAGTGGTTTCAGGATGTGGTGCAGTTATCTAGGATCTGAGACTTATGCAAGACCGCTTATTTTCCTGTTAACCTTGGTATGTTGTCATCGTTCGTTGAGAGATAACACTCTGAGACGTCATTTTTTTCATCTTCTACACGGTGAGATGTCCATCACACTGGAAAATGTGTCATGCTTGCTGCATCTTCTGATCATGGGAAGATTATTAGACCACTCCAGGATTAACAGGGATAAGACACTGAAGATGATGGTGACCTATTTGGAAGTTGGCCCAGAGGATGCATGAAAGGAGATATGAGACGCCTGAGGGTGTCATGCTAGATTTGAATTCCTAGAGAGTCTGTATGCACAACAATTGAATGAAGTAGAGGAGGCCGATGGTGATGATGAGCAGGTTATGCTGCATAGAGGAACAATCAATTGGTCATAGATGAACAATAGATTAGTTCCCTTTTTAAACAGAAAATTTTAGACATGGACAAAGGAACAATCGACCGGCAAACCCGAGAAATCAATTGGTTCCCTCACAATTGAAAAAATTGAGTCAGTAGCTAAGAGTAATAAATTGTTCTTCGGACCAATAGATTGGTTGGTTACATCAATTGATTTATTCACTTGTTGTTTTGACCATAACTTGAGCTGCGTGACTCCAATTGAGGTGTGGTTTGAAGCGTTAGAAAGGTAACGTGACGTATTATCCCATGGTGATGAATTAGGAAGTTAATTTTGTATGTATGAGTAATTGGAGATGAAATCGTATGAACACATCATATGAACACGTGTGACGTGTGTTAATTCTCCATTTTTATGGTTCACAATAATTTTGGTAAATTCAATTAGGAAGCAACTTGTTAAAGAGGAATTTTTGTAAGTTGTTGTGGAAACATGTTGGACACGATGTCCTATCCAAGTCATCTGGCATCTTGTTTGTTACAATTGTTTACTTGGACTTATTATGTCATTTACAGATCCTAAATATTCTGGGAGTATTAGGATATTTTATGTGTTGTCCAAGACTAAAAGAATTAAGAGATTCCATCTGCTTTCAGAAGATTAATTTGTTTCATTAAATATTGAGACATTGTAGGAAACAAATGATTGAAGCCTTATTTTCATGCAGAAGTTTCTGCTGATTTTCTGCATTAGATCAACTGCGTTTTTGAAGCCAATATCTAGTTCATTCAAAGATATAAAAGGAAGGCTCCAACTCTAATAGATGTGTGCATCATATTAGAAATGTTTTAGGGTTTATGTTCTTGTATTTTGTGAGCCACTCTTGTATTGGTTTATACCTGAGTTGGATTGTGCTTAGAGTCGTTTTCTGTCAATCATTCATAAGCTTTTAAGCATTGAATGATTGTGTGTCTTTGAAGTGTATCTTCTAAGTAATTTTTTTGAATTGTGTTCTTGTCACTGTTCTGTGATTGGAAGAGATTTGAGAAGAGTCTCATACCTAGGTGAGTCTTAGGTAGAAGTTAAGCACGGGTAGTGATTAAGTGAGTAGATTGTAAAATAGGTGAAAGTTTGTTGTGAGTCTACAAATTGATACTATCTAGTTGACTTCATCCCTGGTTTGGTAGCTCCCAAAATAGGTGTTGTTATACACCGAATTAAGTTAACGATTTTGTGCGTCTCTTTAGTTTTTTGCACTGTTATTTGTTATACCTTATCATTGTGTGCATATTCAAAAATCGGTGTCTCGACATCTCTTAGAACATTTGAGATCTGAAATCAGAATTTCAATTGGTATGAGAGCAGTCATCCTACTCTGACTCTGGGTGAGATTCAGGGAAGATACTTACTGGTACAATGGACAAGGAAGGAGGATTTGTGAACCAACCACCCATTCTTGATGGAACCAACTATGATTATTGGAAAGCTCGTATGACAGTCTTCATCAAGTCCATAGATAGCAAGGCTTGGAAATCTGTGGTCAAGGGATGGGATCCACCAATGGTTGTAGGTCTTGATGGGAAAGCTACTAGTGTTGTGAAGACTATGGAAGACTGGGTTGATAAAGATGAAGAATCATCTCGAGGAAACTCCAAAGCCTTGAATGCTCTGTTCAATGGAGTGGACAAGACTATCTTCAAACTAATAAGTAATTGCACTATTGTCAAAGAAGCCTGGGAGATCTTGAAGACTGCTCATGAAGGAACCTCTAAGGTGAAGATGTCAAGACTTCAACTGCTTACTACCAAGTTTGAGAACTTAAGAATGAAAGAGGATGAGAGCATTCATGACTTTCACATGAATATCATTGAGATAGTCAATGCCTCAGGTGCCTTAGGAGAGAAAATGTCAGAAGCCAAGTTGGTGAGAAAAATTCTCGAATCTCTTCCAAAGAGGTTTGACATGAAGGTGACTGACTGTCATTGAAGAAGCCCAGGACATAAACAACATGAAGGTTGATTAGTTCATAGGATCCCTACAAACCTTTGAGTTAGGCATCAATGAGAGATCTGAAAAGAAGAAGAGTGTTGTCTTTATCTCCAATACTGATGACCTAGAAGGTGAGTGTAACTTGGATACAAATGAAGGAATATCTAAATATCTTATGTTATTTGGAAGACAATTCAACAAAGTGATGAAGAATATGGATTGGAAGTCCAGATCAAATATCTAGAACAAGTCATTAGACATCAACAAAAATCATAACATTGGGAGAAGGCCCAAGACTGAAGAAGAGACTAGACAAGGTAAAGGAATTCAATGTCATGAATGTGAAGGTTTTGGACACATAAGGTATATGTCTAACTTATCTCAAGAAGAAGAAAAGGAGTTTATCTGTATCTTGGTCTGAAGAAGACTCAAAGAGTAATCCTGAAGAAGAAGCTGCCAAACAGGTCACAACCTTGAATGGTATCTATGACTCTGATGAAGACTCAGATTATGAAGAGCTGACATTTGAAGATCTTGTTGTCTCTTACAAGGAGTTGTGTCTCAGAAGTGAAGAGGTATGTCAACTATGAGAAAAGCAAAAGAAAATCGTAGCTCAATTACAGTCTGAAAAAGTGGAGCACAGGTCTATCATCTCTAATCTGAAAGCTGAAAAAATGGAGCACTTGTCTACTATCTCTGACTTGGAGGGTGAAGTTATATTGCTCAAATCTCAAATTGACAACATGACTAAAAATGTGAGAATACTTAACAACGGTTTTGATGTACTGGATGAGATTCTTCAATCTGAAAAGAATGCTGAAAATGTCAGAGGAATTGATTTTGATAACCAGACTGTGAAGAACAAAGAAAAAAAGTCGGAAGTAAATTTTGTCAAAAGGGGAAGCAGGAATAAAAGATGTCAAATCAAATGTCCCAACATCAACAAAGACATCAGAGTAACTATTCAGCACGGAAGTCTCAAAGATGGAGATGTCATCATTGTAGAAGGTTTGGTCACATAAAACCCTATTGCTACAAATTATATGGTTATCACATATCTGTTGTTCAACCCAAAAGAGAACAAACCTTTATCAAAGCTAAAAACAAGTGGATTCCTAAAAATGGTACCTCCGGGCTCATAGCTCACACCTCTCTCAGAGCCTCTTTCAGAGAAAATTGGTACTTTGATAGTGGTTGTTCTAGACACGTGACTGGTGTCAAGAAATTCTTGATAGACTTCAAACCAATTTTCTCAAACTATGTCACTTTTGGAGATGGATCAAAAGGCAAAATAAAGGATAGTGGCAAGCTGGGTTTTACAGGACTTTCTAGACTTGATGATGTGCTATTCGTTCAAGGGTTGACTGCTAATTTGATAAGTATTAGTCAACTATGTGACCAAGGTCTCAAAGATAACTTTACTAAGTCTGGGTGCCTAGTTACTAATGATAAGAATGGGGTGGTTATGAAGGGATCTATATCAAAAGATGATTATTATCTACAGTCGTCTCAAGAACCAAACATTTCCCCAAAC